AGTTTTTCTTGCCATTATTGGTTCCAATTTTACAAGTCTTGCTCATGCCATTATCATTATTGATTTCTATTATTTTAAGATTCGAGAAAGGATTTTCTTGAATGATGTGAAAGCAATATGTCAATTGGGACTAAAGTTGAGAAGCCATATATGGGAGATGCTTAGAGGTTAACTTTAGGTGTTAAGTTTGACACGACCGGATCACCATTATGAGAAATGAATGGTACTAATATCAAGCTAATGACGTTAAACAAAAGCACGTATTGGGAGGCAACCTAATAAATTTCTTTTGAATTTTACTATTTTAATTGTTTCAATTCATGTTTAAATTAGTTTTGTTTAACTTTTCTCTAGATTTCCTCCATGTTTAACTTGATTTGGAGAGTGTTATAGCATATGTGCTCTTTGTTGCTAAGCAAATGAGGGGAAAAGAAACACACACGGGCGTAAAGGATCCTACACAATTTATACAAGTAAGAAGCATGCCTATGTGTGTGTGTTTGGCTAGAAGTTCATGCGGGGAGGAGGATACAACATAGGTAGTGGCCAAAAAACATGGTTTACACTTGAAAAAGACACTTGTGTATGCTTTGTGAATGAAAGAAATGAAAAGACCACACCGACAAGTAGAGCATCTACATAGTTTGTAGCAAAAATCTACTCACTCATATGAGTACTCACCTTGTGCAACAGCAAGAGAGAAAGAAGGGTGATATGGGTAGAAACATTGAGACACGGTATGTGCTCGAATTGAGCATGGACATGTGTCATAAGCTTTACTCCCATCTTTCACACCACCTCTTCTTTAACAATTGAAATTCTAGATTTTTTTGCTTAACCTTTAGCTTTTAATTTTATTTTAATTTAATCAACTATGTTCCATATATGTATAGATATATATCCATATATATATATCATACTATGTCCATATATATATATATATATATAAGAAAAAAAATGAAACAAATGTCATGTTTATTATGATGTACTTTTTGATTGATGTGTAATGCTTGAATTCAATGAAATTTGATGAGATGAATGAAAATTTTTGGATATTATAGTTATAAAAGTGCATGCATTCTAGAAAACTTTATATGTCTTCATAATGAAGCATAATTTAGTTAGGAATACTAACTTCAAAAGAAAAGCAAACCTTTCGGAAACTAGACCTAAGCATAGTTTAAATAAATAAGATTTTCTAATTTTTATTTAAGAAGGAAAGATGAAAAGCATTCCCTTAGGAATTTGACCTAAGTAATTAAAAATTCTATTCAATGATTTGAGCTACTTAGTAATGAGAAGTATTCATCACAAATGTTTACTTTTACATCAAACAGTAGTTCAAATTATGAGTATGCAAAACACCTAAAGTTGATAACTTGCTAAGTAATTGGTTGTCTTCATCACAAATATCGGTAGTCACGTAAAAAGGCAATTGATCATATAGGAAAATGCTATTAAAGGCCTTGAACAAAAAAAAATAAAAAATAGGATGCTTAAAAAGGAATATTATGATTAAAGAAAATTTTGATTTATTTCCTTGCTTGTAATGGTGAAAAAGGGATAACGGTAAAGTTGGTGTTTTATGCCCGAATTATGTTTGGTTATAAAGATGCATAAATCAATTTAGAGACGTATACCGATATAATAATAATATCTTGAACATGATCGAGTGACTATTAAATTTTATTAAATTTTGAATTGAGCATCAATGTTTGAAGAACAATCATATTGGCATGATGTTTTTTAAACAATTTTATGGGTTTATCAACTAAAAACCCTCATGAGACATAACTTGTCCACTTGCGAATAACCTAGGGGTTTAAAGGCTTGTTGTGTGTGTTAAATGCAACCGTGATTCTTACGAAAGTAAGTTAGGTTTTATTTTGTTTGTTTACTTAAGGACTAGTAAAGTTTAAGTGTGAGGGTATTTGATGTGTGCATAATTAGCATGATTTTTATGCTATATTACATTGAAATTTCTAGCAATTATCCTATTATATTATATTTTTTAAGAATAAGATGACGATTTTAGGTTTTTTAGGAAAAATGATGAATCGGAGCAGTAAAAACCTAAGACCTAAGAAAGAAAGAGAGAAACTTCAAAGAGGATTAGAGGAGTCACACGGCCATGTCAAATAATAAATGAAATAGCTACTGGTAGTGTGACTTGAAAGAAGAAATCATGTGGACTCTCAAGCACGATAAGCCACATAGGTAGAAGCATTCCACAAGGCTAGAGGAAGGAATCCAACATGGTCGTATGGGTGATTTAGCCTAGCAAAGCTCAATGAATGAAGAAGGTCCACACTAGCAATAGGCTTTACATATGGTTTTTAGTGTAAAGTCATATGTGGCAAAGAAGGTTTACACGGGTAGAAGAGATTCAACATGACTTGAAGAAGAAATCTATATGGTAAAGGCTTGGAAACACGAGATGATGAACAAAGTTATGCGGTCATGTGCCACAATTAGCAAGCCATGTAACACTTATTTTCTAAGGCTTTAAACCGTGTGATATCAAATAACAAACTATGTGATTTTATGTATCAAAATGTGTAGCCAAATAATGTCGACACATAAGTGATGTAACCCTAGTTTTAGGTATAAATAGCAAAGCTAGGGTTTATTTGAAAACGAGTCTCATTCTCCTCTCCCAGTAGCCACCATTTATTGAAACTCTCTTTTGTAACCCATTATGAATAAATAAACACTATTCTTGGTTGAATCAAGTTGAAGCTTTTGGTTAATCGTTGTGATATTGCTAGTTTTATATCTAAATTTATCTTTATTAGGTATTTTCTCGTTTTCCGCATGATTGGTTCATAGTTGTATGATTAAATTGATTAGAGTGCATGCTAGTTGTTTAGTCATATTACTTATGCTACCTAAGTATTCAAATTAGTATAATTGCTCATCTAAACTTATCCGTGGTAGTAACTAGGGACTAATGATTATGTAGTGTTTTCGTTCAATTCCTTGAAAAACATATAACTAGGTTACATCTTCTTTAGCAGTTAGGAAGGTGCTTTAGCTTTACTCGCCTTTCTCATATTAATGTTGTTTTTGGATTAAATCTATCTAGTGCTTAGTAGGTTATTCAATAGCTAAGAAATCAATTAGGTATCGTATATTTAATTAATGATTAAGTAAGGAAAGATTGGGATCAATATATATTTTGTTGTCTTACGATGAATATTTATATTTAGATGAGTTAATTATTAATCGATAATTAGCAATCAAATTAAAAGTGGATACTAAAGTTCAACCAAGGTTTTCTTTATCATTATTATTTCAATTTACTTTAATTTTTTTCAAGCATTATAAACATAAAACCCCCCATCTTACATAATAAAAACACTCCACCGAAAGAAATAGTTAATTAAGCCTCTTTCTTTATGGGTTCAACCCTTGTTCGATTACATTATTATGATTGAAAGCTCTATAAGGATAAATGTAATTTATTAATTTATTGGCGTATGACGTGTCATCAATAGGTCCCCTCATCCTAGATAGATAAAGGACATGTGTTTGGGTTGATTTTTTTTTGGATATACCAAATCCCATTTATGTTTTGAACAATTGTCAAAGGGATAAAGTGTATGGTTTTTATCCCTCTTATCTTTATATAGCTCAAATATGATTTAAGATTCTTTTGAAGACTAGATTATTGAGTTAAGAAAGACTTTGAATAAAAGCAAATGGAAACCTTCATAATGATTGCTTAGACTCTATGGATATCAAAGAAAGAGTTGTTGTTCAATAAAAGGCAAAAATGAGTGAATAGGTAAATAATGGTAAAATAGACAAATTGATAAATTGCCAAAATCAACAAATAGGCAATTAAGCAAAAAAGGCAAAATCGACAAATCGATAAAAGTTGAAAAATGGATGAATGGATAAATACGATAAAAAGGATAAAATTGGCAAAGGCTATAAAAATGTCAAAATTGGCAAAATTGACAAAAATCATTGAAGTTGACAAAAAAAGATTCGAAAACAAGATTAAGACCGATAGGATTTAAAAAATTGTGATTTTTAGGCAAAATTAGCAAAATCGTTGAAATTGATAAAAACAAATCGAAAACAAAGTTCAAATCGACATGACTTTGAATATTATGATTTTCAGGCAAAATCAACACAATATCAAATTAATTCTCACAATATGCGACAATGATCTTAAACGAGGCTCTAACCAACGTGGCTCAAAAATCAAATTTTTTCAAACAAATTAGCATAAATATTAATTAACCATCATGATGGGTAAAATGATCTTGAAATGAAATTCGAACCAAGCATCATTCAAAAGTCACATTTTTAATGAAATGTCAAAATTAATCAATATTTGACGAAACTAGCCCAAACAACAAGTTTCAAACTCGACAAGATTTTTTTAGATAAAATTATCACGTTGATTTAACATTAACATCATAAAAAGAAAATGATCCAAAAACATAGTTTAAGCCAACGTGAAGTAATAATCAAATATTTTTAGAACCAATTGACGTAACTCAATTAATGATCACGGTCGACCATGAGTAGTCCAAAAACTAGATTCGACCTAACACATCTTAAAAATCACATAAGTAGCAACAAACCCCTAATCACACCAATAATCACAAACATCGATCAAACCAATACCAACATAACACTAGTTTAATTGAATCACATGCACAATAATAATTTAATCAAATCATACACAAACAATAGTTTTAATTAATTTACACGACACAATAATTTAATTAATTACAAACACATCAAGACAAATTAAATTTAATACATATTAAAATAAGGTAAAATAAAAGGTAAAATAAATTATTGTAAAAAAGTGGGATGAATTGGATTGTTGAATCGAGGTCAATTTCGACTCTTTTCAACCTCGATGGAGACCGATATTCGATCAACCGAGGAGGAAATATAGCTACTATTGATCAAATCTGGTCTAATAGAATGGTGAGGTCTGCTAGGTTGAACCGATCAAACAATATGGATTTGGATAGGGCTGCCGATCGATTATTGGATCAAGCCAGAAGCTGGTTCTAGTTGGTTTGCTTCGGATCCGGTAAAGAGAATTATTGATCGGTTGTTAGATCGGTTAGAAGAGACTACGGTAGCTATAGAAATTAGACTAGAGGCTAGATCAAACTCGAACAATTATGGTTAAAGATCGGTTAACGATTGGAGAAGCAAAATTTTTAGTGGAAGAAAGGTTAAACAACACATGAGGAACTAAATTGGAGCCGAATTGCATGATCGCTAAAGCGGACAAATGATTGTAGGATTGGATCCGGTGGCTCGGACGACAATGTTGGTGGAGGGAAGGTAGTTAGAGACGTTGAGACACTACTTGAGATGGTCGTCACGGCGTATGAATGACTCGAAGTGGAGGTGGAGAGAAATGGATGTGCTTGATCGGAGTTGTGGAGAGGTGTTGGTTCGGCTTAGAGTGGTCGGAGTGGTTGAACCGATCAATAAGGCCGATCGAATGTGGAGGAGAGGTCGGTCGAAAACTTTTTAGGAAGATAGGGTGTATGGTTGCATGTTTTAGAGATAGAAAGTAGTTGGAATTTTTTAAAGGAAAAGAGGGTTTTTATACTAATTTTTTAAGGTTTTTTGGTCGAAGTTTTGTTTTGTCACTCATCTCGCCAACTCCGCTTTATTTTAGTCCTTTTCTCTCTCATTTTTCAATTGTATCCCTTAATTATATTTTTTTCAATCATTTTTTCTTTTTTTCTTTTATTTATTTATTTTTTATTTTTTTGGATTTTTGGAAAAAATTTTGGATGCTAACAATGAAAATTAGGAAAGCTTCTTGTTTTTTTTTTTATTGGTTTTATTTGTGAATGTCCCTTTAAATATGATGTTGATTTAGGAGATGTCATCCTCTTGAATTTCTCTCCCGACAATGACCTACTCTAGGCTTTCCCCATCTACTTTTAAGGAACTGCTCGAGGAACTCTCCAACTATTAATCTTTTTACCTCTTTTTCAAGAAATAGAAATTCTCTATGTCGTGGCCAATTTTTTGATGAGATAAATAATGTCTTATTTTGTTGTAGAGATGTAGTAACCCTTTCATTAGATTAGGGTAACAAATTTAAGGTTCTTATTTTATAGTGGTAAACACCTTTATTAGAAAGGCATTTAAGAAGATTATTTAGAGCTTTGAGAAGACTAGGCAATCATGCATTAATCCCGAAGGTCTATCTTTAGATTAGAGCAGGATGGTGGTGATCTTTCTATTTTTACCTTCTTTACTAATTGTTAGCGGTGCAGTTGAGCTCGTTGGGTGGTGATTGCTTCCTTCATCCGAATATGACTATCTATTACCTTTTTTACCTGGTTGAGGTTCTTATTAGGGAGGACGTACATATTTTTCTATAGGTTTGTGTCTCTAACACCGGCTATGAGGGTTTTAATGGTGATAAGTTCCAACAAATAGTCTAACCGTAACATTTCTTTATAAAAGTAAAAGAGATAAGCTCATGTGTTCTCTCTCTCTCTCTCTCTCTCTCTCTCTCTCTCTCTCTCTCTCTCTCTCAAGAGACTAATAATAAGTCTCTCAAGCTTCTTTTAGTGAAAATGCTAGTGGAGAAGCAAGCTTCTTACTTAAAGCAAATGTCCTCAAAACTAAAGAGGGATTCAAGGCTTAATTTGTTGTACCATTTCTTAACCACCCCTCAAAAGGTGGTAGGTAGTACCTTGTATATAGTGTTTGAGCTCTGAATAACTAACTCAAGGCTCTTGTAGACATTTTATACCTATTTTTATAGATTTATTATGCTCGTTATAGATATTCAAATTCATTTTCCAACCAACAATTCCCTTGGAAGCTTGGTGTTCAATATGTATGGTTCAATATGTATGGAGAAAGTTGAAAATCCTATAACTTGTAGTCTCAATGGTCGGGTTTTAAATATGTGGCGATGATCATCGATCATTTCTTCTTATGTTAGTGTTTGGTTTAGGGGCTTATTAAAAAGGTATGGGATGATGAAGAGATATTCTTGAGTCTATTTTTGTGCTGGTTACAAACTATATTGTGTCTATTCTTGGGTATTTGATGATATTTAGTTATATCTTTTTTCCCTTCTCTTTTTGAGAAACTTGACTAGCCAAATCCTTATCGAGGTGACAACCTTTATGAGGTTTTGGAAAGTGATGATGCTCTTACTTTTTTGGCTTTTCTTTCATTGTACCGAACATTCCCTCATGGGAAAATTAAGAAGGCGAGTCTCTCCTTGTATGGTGGATTCAATAGGCATGAATCTATTGATAAAAAGATATATTTTAAGCTATATAAGGGGTCTTGTTATGTTTGTAGCATCAATAATAGAGTATTCAAGGATTTAAACTCCTTCGATTCGATATATAAGCCTCGATTAGTAGCTTAATATGTCATTGTATTTGTAAGATGTCGACTAATGAAGTGTTAGGGCTGGCAAAATCTATTACCATAGGTCGCGAAAGAGCTTCTTTATTTTCAACCATAAATAGTTTAGAGATTGGAGAAGTAAAAGGTTCATGGACTAACTTTTTGCTCAAGATTCCCACGGATGGCACCACTAGCAAGGTGATAGATTCTCAATTGGATCAACTTTTTTTGGCTAATCGTGTGGTGGTTATGTATCCTTGTTTTGGAGTTCTACAATAGATACCTACATAATAAAGTCCTCTCTTAGATTTTGTAAGACCTTTTGATGATTAAGTTAGAGTACTAAGAAGGTGATTTTAACCTTATTAGGCTTAGTAGTATATCTTTAGTGCGCGCATGTGTGTGTATTGCTTGAGTAGGCATATGGTGAGTTATTTTCCATATGAGATAGAGAAAATGTACAACAATAATATAGCTTGCTCTTGCTTCGGTTGTTTATAGGCTTAATCGCTTGTTTGGTTCATTAACCATTGACCTTTTTGTGTTTCTAGAGTTCATCCATTTATACTCGGGTGCCGAGCCAACTTGCATCAAGTGAGGGATGTATTCATCCTTTCATTGCGGGTAATTAAGTCTACCCTTTGTATAATAGCTAATGAAAGGTGCTTTGGAGATCCTACTTGGAGAATGTCTCTTATTGGCATAAGTTGTGTTTTTTTACGAGGGACAACACCTCTTTTCATTTGATGCTTGTTTTTTTTCTAGTGAGAATGTGAGTTAGACCGGGATATGGATGTTGAGATAGAGACTAGTGTATATCGTTTCATAGGAGTCTTCCATATGCAAAATCCTACGTAGTCATACTTGTGGTAGATAGGTCCCCTCATCCTAGATAGATAAGGAACATGTGTTTGGGTTGATTTTTCCCAAATATACCAAATACCATTTATGTTTTGAAGAATCGTCAGTGGGATAAGGTGTATGATTTTTATCCCTCTTGTCATTATATAGGTCAAATATGATTCATGATTCTTTTAAAGACTCGGATTATTGAGTTAAGAAAGACTTTGCATAAAAGCAAATGGAAGCCTTCATAATCATTGCTTAGACTCTATGGATATCAAGGAATGATTTATTGTTCAATAATAGACCAAGTGATCCTTCTTTGGTGATTCATGAAGCATTATCTCTCCTTTTAGACTACCAAACTGAAAATACCAAAAGTCTTTCGAGTGCCACAAGATAAACCAGGACATCTCAACCTAAGTGGCACCCTTCTTCTCAAAACATTTTGAAAATCAATAGTAATTCTGTTACCTCTTCTAATGGCATTAGATTTGGAATGTTATCCAGAATAACTCTAGTGAAATGATGCTACCTGCCATGAATTTCGCTAGCCATAATACCATTCATGATGTAGCTGAGTCAATGGTAGCGAGGTATGGAATCTCTTTGGCAACGAATATGGGATATGATAAGGTTGAACTAGAGATGGAAATTCCTTTAGTTATGATGGGCATTAATAGAGAAGAAACCTTGTGTAACTATCTCGATTTCATTGCTCAAGATATCAAGGGCATAACTTCTTTTTTCCCCTTTCTTTTCATCCAATCATATCAAGAGATGGCTAGCACATCACTTTTTTTTTAATAAATAAGGATAGTGCCCTGACCAATTTTGTTAATAAAAAATTATACAATGGAGGGAGGGAGACAATCCAGCCTTGCTCATAAAGGTAGAGGGATAAGAAAGCTTAAACCTCATAAAATAAGCATTACATCAATCATTTCTTATAAGTGTAAATGCTAATACTATCATGTCTCAGGGCATTACAAACCTCTCTAGAAAGGTCTGCATGCCTGTTGAAAGAACAAAATGATTTGTGATTGTGAGCTAAACTAGCTATACAATCAGCTACATTATTTTGTTGACGAAGAATATGTTGACAATGAAAAGAAACGTTAATCTTTTGACACTGGTAGAAGTGATGAATGTACTGCTAAGGAGCCTTAATCTTCTTATCTAGAACATTCACTACCACCTAAGAATTGGATTCCACATCAACGTCTTGTAAGGTTAGTTACTCACATAGTTTTAGGACATCTATCAGCACACATATTTCCCCTCTCATGCTAGTTCGAGTGCCATAATAATTTGGAAAGGCCTTAATGAATTGGCCATGCTTCCCTGCAGTCACCCCACTGCCACAGCAAAGCACTTCACTGTGGATCCATCTGTATTAAGTTTATAAAGCCTCTCCGCATGACGGTTCCATTTTAGCCAGACCCCTCATTTTAACAAAATTGAAATAATAGGGATGCCTAAATTTCTAGGCCACCTAAACTCACTAGCATTAGGCTTCCTTTTTGGAGAATAAACCAAAAACATATAAATCAAATGAGAATTAACCAATCTGATAATGTAATCTATTGACATCTGTACCCCCTCAAATCTAGACCGACATCTTTTCTTTCAAATAAGCCATAATTCAAAAAAAAAAAAAAAAAAATTAGCAATTTGGGACATACCTACTTAAGATCTTGAAGAACACATCCAAGACCAAAAGAAAGTCAAGGAACTAGCATGTGTATGTGGTTTACTAAAACACTCTATAATGTAACACCAGACTTGTTTAGCCATTCCAAAGTGAATAAAAAGATGATCAAAGGTCTCCTCCTACCGTTCTACACAACAAGAAGCCATTTGGATTCGCTTAGATCTAATTAGATAATTCGTTGGAATAATATGATGAACCTATTTCCAAATGAAAGCTTCAATTCTACCAGAAATCTACAGCCCCCATACCCATCTATGCCAATCCACTAAAGGAAGGGAGCTTTTCTCTCCTATGATTCTAGAAATCCTTACATCAAAAAGAATTTAAAATACAGACCAAGGAGTCATTCTCATCTTCTTCTATCTGAATCTCTTCAATAATAAGCCAAATCTCTATAGAAATATATTATACATGGCCTCTTTGACCATGAGGTTGATGTCTAAAA